CGCTGTGGCTCAAGTGGTAAGAGTGCTAGCCTTGAGCTGAAGAGCTGAGGGACAGCGCCCAGGCCCAGAGTTCAGGCCCCACGACTGGACCCAAAAAAAAAAAAAAAGAAATGTAGTTATAGCCATTTCTTTAAAAGAGAGAAAACAAGGTCTGAATATATTGGCACATACCTGGAATTCCAGCTGTTTGGGAGGCATAGATTGGGAGGGTTTCATTTGAGGCTGTCTTAGGCAAAAAGTTAGAAAGATCTGGTATCAGTGAACATACCAGATATAGTGACATATGCCTAAATATTTTTAGTTAAAATTAAAGTTGAAATTGTGTTTATTTCTCTGTGATCTTGGTCTTTGAGAAATACAATGCCATCTGACAGTCTTCAGTCTACTGTTCACCAAGAATCTGATTGTTTCATTATTGCAGTGACTAATCTATATATCTTTTTATTCCAGAATGCTTCCAGGGCCACTCATGATGTACCAGTTTCAAAGAAGTTTCATCAAAGCAGCAAGTAAGTCATCATTAGATCAGAGTTTTAAGAGGGAGGAAAATACAGTTTTCTATTTCAAAGAATATTTGGCATCCATATATATTATGCATAATGTATATAATGTATAATATATTTTATGTGTAATATATCTCTCATCATATTGTGCATGTAAAGCACACATGCTCCTCACACTGATTCAGAATAAAAATAAAACTGAATCAGAATGTGTAAAGACTTTGCTACTACATTGAATTTACAGTGGAATAAAAACACTTAAGTATTTTTCTTTGTGGAGGGAGGGAGGTGGTGGGAAGAAGAGAGAGGAGAGAAAAGCAAGCTTATCTTTCTAGTTTTGATTATTGGAGTTCTAACTTCTTGGGGTTTTTCCATCCTTTGAGTTGCATTTCACACAATGAATCACACATTGCACATTTTCCTAAATTGAGCATTGGAAGTGTTTCCCTGAATACGACACCATTTATATAACTTCACAGTCGTCTTTCCATCATGTCTTCCATTTACAGCTTCTGATCATTCTTCAACTACATCATCCAGGCCCTAGCATCATATTACTGGTATTAAACTACATAGGGATTAGTTGCAAGCTACCCTAAGTAGACTGGCATCTGTCTACGTGGGGTAGCCTCAGGAAAGGGGCAGTTATATTCTCTATCAGATTGCAATCTGGCATGAATCTTTGTGATATTATTATGCCCAGACTTGAGGGTTTGTTTACCCTGGTCGCTACTACTGGCCTAATTTAGTAGTACCTAATGTTCTGGTGGCCTTATCTCCTCATAGTTGTTCCTTTAAAACAGGGAAGAGGAAGACATGGAGAAAGCTGGGAGTGAAGATGGTGTTTATGTGATTCCTTTCTCTAAGAAATTCCAGCCCCCTAGCAACCATTCTCTAATTAAAGCTCACATCAGTCCTATAAATAGGTGTGATGTGTACCAGCAATCTATTTCCCAGAAAAATGAGGCCACTTACCCAAGTTCCACTAAGAGAACATAACAAACCATCATATAGAATATGGGATGGCAGAAAGATTTAATTATTTTTTTCTGCCATTGCTTTCTTGTAGGCTGCTTATAATACTTAATTGGAGAGTATTGGGCATTTCCTTTAATTTCTTCAATGTTGTCTTGTCTCGACACATTATTTTGATATTTGATACCCTTGCAATGTTGTTCACATAAGATTTGTTTATCACTTTACAAGTGCATGAAGTTCCTTCCTTCTTTGAAATGAAGGCCACCCTCTAGGGAGCCAGTTTCTCTGGGTGTGTAGTTGACTGGCTTCATTTTATTGTGTCATCACTTTGGCCTGGATTTTTGGACAGTTATTTTGATGAACCCTGTTACACAAAGCATCATTAAAGGGCCTTCCAGATCTTGTTGGGCTGGTCATACTGCATGCATGCAAAATGAGATTATATATTTTTAAGAAATCTTCAGTCTCTTAATTCCAAACTTTGTTTTCCCTTGGTTTTGTCTTGTAAAGTGACTTAGCTTTGGCTCTCATATCACCTTCTTCCTTTCTTCACAGAGCTGGAGAATCAAGAGACTCGTGTCTCTGAAATACATAGCCTTGTTCATCGGCTCCCAGAGAAAAATCGGCAGATGTTACAATTGCTCATGAACCACTTGGCAAAGTATGTTTATGACCCATTGCTGACCCTTTTCTACTTCGCAGTTCTTATCTTTGTAGTAAAGCTGGTGTCAGTTTTGCTTTACCACTATTGCATCAGGTAGGCTGAAGGCTTAGGAAAGAAATGTGTGAAATGTTAACTGCAGAGGAGAACAGCAGCAAAGGCCAGATAGCCTTCACTGGGGAGGCTGGTGAAGTACCAGTGCTACCATGCTACTAAGCAATGTTCACTGGGGAAATTTACCATAGGATGAAGGGCAAATTCTAGGTCATCAGAGAATTTCAGGCCTTACATATTTTTCTGATAATCAGAGACCAACAAGACTATATTGTAGGTTTATGGAACTTGGATATGGAGCTAGGAGTCCTAGATTCTAAGGGTGTGTGTCTGTCTGTCTGTCTGTCTGTGTCTCTGTATATGTGTGTGCTTGAACTCAGGATCTTTTGCATTAAGGCTAGCACTGTACCACCTCAGTTATACCTTCAGCTTTTTGTTGCTTTAGGTATTAGGTGATTTTTCCCCCTCCCCAGATAGAGTCTTGAGTGTTTTCCCAGCTAGTCTCAGACTGATCCTTCTTTAGATACTTCCCTCATAGCTGGGATCACAAATCTGAATCACCATGCCCATCTTGTTCTTTGAGATAGGGTCTCACCAAGTTTTTGCTAGTGCTGGTCTCAAATGGAAATTTTCTTAAGTAGCTAGAAGTAAAGGTGTGAGCCACTGCATCTGGCTTTGAACTTATTCTTAGCCAATTAACCACCTTTGGACAAACCACTGAACCTCCCATTCCTTAAATTTCTTTATTTGCCAAGGGTGCTTAATAGACTGTCTTCAAGGTCACAGATTTTTAAAGTACCTGTGATAAAGACGTTGAAGAAGTATAGAGAATAAAGGATTATTTTTGGCAAATGCGCACTTTCCTTGTGAGATAATCAAAGCATTTAAAGAGGTCTAGATTTTCCTGCTGGGAGTTTTTTTCTGTTGGAATGGTTTTGAATTTCTCTGTATTTACTGTTGCCTGATTCTTTTTCAAATAGCCTGACTATTTACTTTGCTGTGTCAATCATTTTGTGTGTGTTATGTTCTGAACTTTGACTGATTTAGATAGAACCTTTTTAATTGCAGACAGGAACAAAATATAGAATGAGTATGTAAGAATTAACCTAAATTATTACAGTTGTAGATTCTACTGAACTGATTGTTTTATGAATTTAGCCTTTTCAGTGTTTAATTCTTGCCACTGAGTCAGTCCTTTGGGATTAGTTGATATTCATCTAAGGGAAATTGTGAAGAAATGAGAGTGTGCCTTATATATGTAAGAAACAACTGAGCATAAGTCAAGGATTTTTCCATTATTTATTAAAGATTTTTTGTTATACTATATTGTATCTGCATATTCAGAAACAATTAAGAAGCATAGCAAAAAAAAAAAAAGACCATTTGCACTGGATTGCCCAAAACATGTCAGAGACTCTTGATGAGGTGTGTTTAAAATAATAGGAACTCGGCTTTAAAAAACAGCTCCAGATGCAGTGGTATGACAGTGTGGTCTGTTCCACCCAACCCAGAGACAGGCATTTGTTAAACTATAAAGCTGGTTCCTATCTTAGTTACTAAACTTTGCACACTTGAAGGGCAGGCACCAAAATAGAGGCGATTCCAGGTGTATACTCCAGCCACTTATATGTGGGAAGCTTATGACTGCTTTATGACCACTGGATCTTTAGGGGCCTTGAGGCTTGCTGGGAGCAATTGGAGGAGACAGGTTAGGAGCTAACTGAAAGCAGTAGGTCTTTTCAGGCTGTACAATTGGACTGAGAGCTTAATTGGACTGAGAGAGAGCAAGAGCAAATGACATTTCCGGCAGAGCCAGTACTCAGTTTTTCCCATTTGTAAATTGCCATGTGGATTTTAGGACTCTTTAAAGAAGAAGAAATGGAAAAGATGAAAATATAACAACATGAACTCTTAAAGTAGATCTTCAACAGTTGAATATTTTTATCTCCTGGTAGATGATTTGTTTGTTTCTTCTTTTTCACCCTTTCCTTCCCTAGTCCCATTAAGATCTGTCCATCCTCATTCCTAAAGTATAGCATAACTAGAATATGCAAGTTACAGCTTGGATCCTATCTGCCTTCTAACCAGTTTAATCAGTTTTGTTGCTGAAGTTATTTATTCCATATTCTTAACTTTTGCTACTTGAGAATGATTTTCTTTAGTTTTAAGAATTTCTTCTTATTCTTTTTATAGTGCCAATACTGGTGTTTGAACTCGGGACTTCATGTTTTTGCTCATGACTGGTATTCGACCATTTGAGCCATACCTTGAGTCCAGCTTTTTTGCTGATAAGTAAAATAGACTCTGCTAATCTTTTCTATCGAGACTAGCCTTGAACCATGATTTTCCATGACTTAGCCTCCTGAGTAGCTAGGATTTCAGGCATTGAGCCACTAGCACCCACAGTTATAACATTTTTTATGTCATCACTAAGATCTACATACAGATGATCTCTCATGCTTTAATGTGGGGTAGACAGAGTTGGTGTTGGAAAACACAGACTCTAGTTCTTACACTGATATGTCCTTGATCTTGCAGAGCCTCTCTGTTGGAAATGTCCTCTAGGATGGAAATTAGTGTAAGGGAGCCCTGCTAAATCTAGTACAGTGTTTATTTAGTTCTCAATAAATTCTTTGCCACCCAGAGGAATTCTAAGATTCCACTTAAACTATATTCTTACAGTACTGTCCTTATTTTAAAATCCAGCAGTAAGGCAAAGTTAACTTGGGACAAGAGCTTGGTGTAATTGCAGTTTTCTCAGGTTCAGACTTATCCTAGGATCCGCCTGAGCTATTGTTCCTTTGGGCCACTTGCTTAATGGTCAGCTTCCTTCCTAAGTTTTGGTTTCAGGGTCAGTTCTGTTGGAAACTCCAGTGTTTACTTCTCTCATTACCTACTGTTTGCTGAATATATCTCAGGCTTCTGGTTCAAAAGCAAGATGCTCTGTATTGTGTATTTTTTTTAATTCTTTTGAAGCATTTTCCAAAATGGATTTCCCTTAGCCGTAGAGGGAGAATGAAAGCATTTTGTATTTACTCTTAAGAAAAAAATGTATCGGGGTGGGGGAGGTGGGCGGGGGGGGGGGGAGACTTGAAGGGAAAGGATACAAACTCCTAACCTCTGAAGCAAATGATTGCCAGGATACATCCAAGTCTCAGACATTCTGGGTTAGTTTCAGACCTCAGAGAGTACACAAAAATTAATAAGGAACCATGCACATATTTTTGTTGTTCCAATGTATATTGACTACAGTAATTAGATGTTTTCTATTTAGGTCTGGGAATCTAGTACGCAGTCTGGTGTCATGTGCCCAAGGACATTTCCTGGGACGCTGGTTTACACTGGCATTTCTGGGCTATACTCTGAGTCTACAAGGTAGATGCTGGGCCTAGAAACCTGCATTTATGGTTTGTTTCCTAGATAACTATGATACAGTCTTTAAGAAGTACTGACTTACAGAATGGGCCATATGCAAGGATTTTCTAGGAAAGAGAAATGATATTAAAGGAATATAGATTAGGATTTATGAGGATATTAGTAATAGGAAAAACAAGCTTAAGGCTTTGAGTTCAAAAGATTTTATTGTCATGATTAAATTGGCCAGAAATCTGGTTTGATTTCTCAAGATCTTGCAATTGTCTTCATATCAGCTTGAGCTTCCAGCACATAATTGTTTGAAAACCATGCATAAAGTATTTTTAATTATGAAGGAAAGCATACACAGTCAGTTTGGGATCTTTATGCAAATTATTTTATGTATTTGAGCCTGTTTTCTGAGTGACCTACTAATAGTTTGATATTGTATCTTCATCAGATGGGCAGGCAGGGGATGGGAGAGGTAGAAAGGTGAGAGGGGCTAACCGGAACAAGAAAGAAAACTCCCAATCCTATAATTATAGGAGTAATAAGAGTAGATGAGTAATAAAGACTAATTTCATGGTAGTTTCCTAATGTTTACATATTATGATGACTCCTAGTATGTTGTATATCCCCACACATACCATTTGTAGTGGCTCATTGTAACTTTATTACAGTGTTTATGCTATGTGGGAAGATTTCAAAGGACTCTCCATACATAAGGAGTGGCTATTAAAAATACCTTTTCACGGCTGTTTTTCTCAAAACATTCATTGAGCAATAAATCTTTGTCTCATTCCTTTTTCCTGGCAATTTTCCTTTGTTACTTGGGTATTGTTTGAGAGGGAGAAACTCATCTTGCCTCTTCAAGATAGTATAATATTATTCAGTATGCTTTGAGCTGTATGAAATGGAAAATTCTAATTCAAAATGGCTTAAGGAAATCTATTTTGTCATCATACAAAATCATTTTGGAGAGTTGGTTTATTTTGTGGCTCATGAAGAACTCAGGTTATTTCCATGTTCCTGCATAACCAGCCTCTTTGTGCTGGCTAGCTTCTCTCAGGATCATATGATGTTACATCATGTCCTTGCACAACCAGTGCATGTCAGAAGAGGCAGAAGAAGCCTTGTTTCTTCTTCGGTTCTTTTTAAGAGCTATGATGATACTTTCCCAGCTATTTTCTGCTACTTTCCATCACATCTCATTGCTTCAAAGTAATCACGAGCAAGGACAATGGGACCTTCAACAATTATGTCATATGAAGCAAGATTTACCTGAGCTACTTATGGGGGCATAGACACCTGAATAAAAGTAGACCTTCCTATAATTATCTGTTCCAACTAGTCTGGGTAAAATAATATTCAGTAGGGAGTCTTAAGTTTATTCATTGAATCATCTTGCATGATGTGCTACCTCAAGACATATGAACTAGGGGCATGGTTTAAGTAGAGATCCTGCTTGGCAAGTTTGAGGTTCTGAGTTCAAGCTCCAGTAATATTAAAATAACTTTTGAAAAGGATATGGTTATGGCTTAAGTTGTAGTTCCTGTTTAGCAAATGCAAGGGGGAAAAAAGGGACATATTAA